TTTTCAAGCATTTCTCTTGGAAAGTACCACCATTCTGTCCTTTGAATAGCCTTGGCAAGTAATGTTTGGACCTAGCAAATGCAGTGCCAATTCCGTACAGTGGTTTCTGTTTGAAGACGTGGAGTCCATCTAGATGACACCCTTCATACCAAACCAAACACCTTGCCCTTGAGTCAATTCCGACTCATAGCGACCCTATAGGACTGAGTAGAACTGCCCCATAGCGTTTCCCAGGAGTGGCTGGTGGATTCAAACTGCTGAACTTTTGGTTAGCAGCCAGGCTCTTAATAGCCTTCATAGGGACCACGTTTTTGGACTATATTCATTTTTTTCCACTGACACTATTACTGAAAGCAATGAACTATACAGTAGACAAAGATGGTGTTTGATTTATAGGGAGCAAATCGTTTCACATTTATCATTGCTGGTTCTAATGTCAGTCCCAGTCGGCCTGGCCTACCCACTGCCAGATCAAAGACTTCTTGTTGGCTCAGTCCCTTCCACCCAGTTCTTGGATTGATTTTTAAGACTAAAAATACACTAAGACCTCCATCATCTTCTAGCGTTTTTCTGCTACCCTGAGCATTCATTGCTTGCAGAGATGTGGTGTCTCACCGTACCCTTGGCATGTACTCAGTTTGCCTGTGAGATTTTCATTTTTAAAAACGCTATTCCCATCAGGAGTTTTGAAATATATGGCATAAACATCTTAATGTATGTGAAATATTTAGAATATTTCAATATATGTATAGATGGAATTAGGACACAGAATCAGACATTTAGTAAAAATTTGTCAGAACATACATACTCCTTTCCCTCATATGTGGTAGCATCATACTTAAGTCATTTAGATAAATGATACTTTTTTTTTTTTTAGTATTTATTTTTAAAAATGAACCGAGAAGCGGTTCTGCAATCTTTCTTTTTAGTAGCCCCCTCAAGTGTTAAATAGTCCATAGAGTCAAGATGTTTCTTGTGTGGCTCGTTTTTGTATTCCAGGCCCCTTGTGGAAATGGGACCTTATCTAGAGCCTGCTTACGTACCCTGACAGCCTGGCCAGCCTGCAATATCTCCTCCTTTTAGAGGGCTCAAACCTGTTCTTGTTCATAGGTGGACAGTTGGGGTCCTACTGCAACCTGGGCTGAACTCACAGAACCAAGATATTGTGACACTGTGTCTTGGGCTTGCACTCACCAGACTGACCCCTTGAGTACTGAGGACAGCCTAGCTGAAAGCTGGGCACTTTGTTATAATCTGAAATGTTTTGATGGTCAGCTTTTCATTTGCAGCAGAGACTCTAGGACACCCTGGATTCTTCCAGTCGGGAATTAGGTCCCTTTCCTGTCTAACCTTTTGTTGAGTTCTCTGCCTTCTTTTTAGCTGAGCCACTTAATTGGTGATTTTTATCCAGTTTCAGTGGTAGCTGATTATTTTTAAGTGTTTGATTTTCTAACCTTGTCTTCTCTTGAGCTTTCATTTCACCAAGTGCTTGTGAACACTTTCTTGTAGTGTTTATGTTCGTTATTTGTCTTTCCTTCTAGACTGAATGTACCCTGAGATTTGGGACCAAATTGGTCATGTTTCTGTTGGTGTCCTCCACACTCAGAACAGTGCCTTGCACATAGCAGGTGATAGATAGATATTGATTAGATATAAGTTTTTCCCGACAGTAAGTTTAGTTATCAGTGTGAGAAACAAGGGTTCATATAGAAATTTACAACTTATACGAGAAGTTTAGATATTTCATTGTCATCATTAGTGCTGGAGAGTCTATTTTAAATTATAAGCATATCTATATACAAACTAAGTTCATCAGTCTGGCAGGACAGCTAAGAAGAAAAGGTATATAATTTTCACCATGTTGTATTATAAGGCTTTGCGCATTTCAAGTTTTTCTTGAGTTTGATTAATACATATGTATTATATTTCTCACACATAGAAGTTTTATGAACTATAAAGAAATGTGTTTAATGGCCCTATTTTTGTTCATTAGTAATTATATACTAAAGAGTAAATTCTCATTAAAAGGCCCTTAAATGCCTGCTCATATAAAAGAGAGACCTCTTTGATTTTGTTCTGCATACAATTCCAATTATTGTATTGAGGCAAGTCATCAAACTCTTTAGTAGTCTAAACCTTTAATTTGGTTTCAGAACAGTACTCATGTATTGAACACCCAAATTACCATGTCTTTAACAAGCAGTGCAAACACTCTGTATTAAAAAGGTAATGACCATAACTTTTCTTGGAGAATTTCTTGTGCTAATTTTTTAAAGAGGACTTTTTGAACTAAATTTCCCATGAAGGCCAAAATCTCATACTTTTTTAATGATAGTGGAGTATATGTTTGTGTTGAGGGAAGGGTGGTGGTGGTAATTTTTGTAGTGGTATTTTTAAGTAGACAGTTTACTAATTATGGTGAGGTAAACACTTTTCAACTCTAAAAGGAAAACTTCAATTATCTGAATGAAATGAGGTACATGAAATTAATCCAGATAAGTGGGGGACTCCTTAGTGTAAATGATGCATGGCAAGGGACATGACCTCAATCTTGATTCCACCCCCCCACCCCCCCATATATCTGTCATCTGCTTTTACATTACTAGATCGTGATTCTTTTTGGTCATGCTAGGAGTCATTAATGGGAGGAGGTAAAGTTGCTTATAGTTTTTTTTTTCTTTGCCACAGAAGGAATCCAGAGTGTGGTATTCTATGACAAGTATAATTTCTTATCTGTCGCCTGTACTGCCTGCCCTTTTAGGTGATACACCACAGCCTTCCATTTTGTCACCTTCCTGTTGAACATGTGTGTGGGGATTCCTTGAGAATATGATTTGTTTGAAATTAAAGCCACACTCCTCTGTCTAATCTCAAGATGTTTTTTCTTCCTAAAAGTTGAGTTACAAAAATTAGAGGGGTGAGTTGATCAGGATAAACCTTGATTCCTTCCGTCCCCCTTAGGGTTTAATGTTAAACAGTCATCTTGCACTGGGTTAGTTGTTGTTAGGTGCTGTTGAGTAGATTCTGACTCAGCGACCCCGTATACCACAGAACCAATCGTTGCCTCATCCTTTGCCATCTCCACAATTGCTGCTATGGTAGGCCCTTGAAATAGACACAAACACCAGGCGTGACCTCTTACATTATAGGTCCTGACTTGAAATGGAAATTTTACTGATTCATTGGAGTTTAGAAAAGTTTTAGGAAAATCCTTTCTGCTGCCATTTACTAGGGTTTGCAGCGTTCCCGGGCTCTTGGCATGTGAAAGCTATTGTGTAATCTGTATATAGCCTGTGTAGCTGTGATGACATTTTCCTGCAGGCTTTTTTTGTTGTTGTTGTTAAAGGAGACAAGCTTGTCTCAGTCACAGAGGTAGAGATGTGTGCTGTCTGACACCTTTGTAAGTGAGTTTTATTTCTTTCCTTAACATTGCCGATAGATGCCTGATGAGCACAGTTACACTTGACACACCGGGGTCGCCAGGAGTCGGAATCAAGTCGATGCAGCTGGTATATATATGGTATATAGATTCCTTGCTTAAGCTCCTGAGAATGTAGCTCTTTATTTTCAGCTTGCACCAGTTTCTTTTCATCTCTTGGTCTTTATGATACAAGATGATTCATATCTTGATTGCCTTGTGTAGAGTGGATATGATGCCAACAAACTTGGTACCCAGACCTTTTGAGCAGTTCCTAGAACATTTACTGCCTTCATAAATATCTGCAGGCAGAGTGATTGAAAGAGGTTGGGCTTCATGGTCAGTCTAAACTGATTTTTGATTCTGCCATCTGTGAACAAAGCAGATTGGACTGTTGTGACCCATACAGTTTTCATTGGCTGATTTTTGAAGTAGATCACTGGGCCTTTCTTCCTAGTCCTCCTCAGTCTGAAAGTTCCACTGAACCCTATTCAGCATCATAGAACATGCAGACCTCCGCTGACATATGGGTGGTGGCTGTGCCTGAGGTGCATGAGATGGGAATTAAACCTGAGTCTCCTTCACAGAAGGCGAGAATTCTACCACTGAACCTAACTCGAAGACAGCTAACAGCAGCAGCAACCATTTATGAACAGCATGCCTTTGGGGGAAGTTAGTAACTTACCCTCACTGGGTTTCAGTTTCCTAATCTTGAAGGAAATTATGGAGATATTATCATCTTTATAATTATATCACCTAGGAGTGTTTTTTGTAAAAGTAATCTTAGGAGCATTAATTTATTGTTATATGCAGTGTTTAATAGTGTGAATTAATGCTCTTAGATCATAGACTATTTTAAAAAGAAGGAAGTTTTGTTTCTTTTGACAACAGAGGTAAGACTCTTGTAGCCATCAGTCTATTTATATACAAATGATTTACTGATGTGTAGTGTAAAGAGTCTAGTGTGCTCTATGGAGTCAGACAGGCTAAGTTTTGTAGACAGATGATCCAGCACTTCCTATTGGGTAATCTAGGGCAGGTTACTTTACTTTTTTGGTGTAATATTTTTATCTGTAAAATTGGTAGTAAAGGTATAACCAGTTACTATTGAGTTGATTCCAACTCATGATAACCTCATGTGTATCAGGAGTAGAACTGTGCTCCATAGGGTTTGCATTGGCTGATTTTTCAGAAGGAGATTTGTAGGCCTTTCTTCTGAGGTTCCTCTGGGTGGATTCGAACTTCCAGCCTATTGTTTAGCAGCTGAGTGCATTAACTATGTACACCACCCTGTTCGAATCTACCAGCTGCTCCTTGGATACCTTATGGGGCAGTTCTGCTCTGTCCTGTAGAATCGTGGTAGGGTCTCTATGAGTCGGAATTGACTCTATGTCAATAGAGTTTTTTTTTTTTGGGGAGGTGGTTTGGGACTCCAATAAGTAACCCATTGCCGTCGAGTCTGTTCAGGCTCATAGTGATCCTATAGGACAGAGTAGAACTGTCCTATAGGGTTTCCAAGAAGTGGCTAATGGATTTGAACTGCTGACCTTTTGGTTAGCAGCCGAAGCTCTTAACCACTACCCCACCAGGGCTCCAAATAAAAGTAATAAAATAAAAAACCAAAAAACCAGTTGTCATTATGTCAATTCCAACTCATGGTGAACCCATGTATTGCAGAGTAGAACTGTGCTCCTTAGGGTTTTTCATGGCAGTGACCGTCCGGAGGCAGATTTCCAGGTACCTCTGGGTGGTTTGAACTGCCAACCTTTTTGTTAGTACTGCATGCTTATCCATTTATACCACCCAGGGACTCCTCAAAAAAAAAAAAAAAGGATAATATAAAGGTGGTTGTGAAAACTCAACAGGTAAGGTTATTGTTTGTAACCTTGGGTAAGTTTACCCCTTCCACCTCACGTTTCCTCATTTGTAGCGTGAGTATAATAACAGCTAAGTAATAGAGTTATTAAGGAGCCCTGGTGGTGCAGTGGTTAAAACGCTCAGCTGCTAACCAGAGGGTTGGCGGTTCGGACCCACCAGCTGCTCTGCAGGAGAAAGATGTAGCAGTCTGCTTCCGTAAAGATTTACAGCCTGGAAACCCTATGGAGTAGTTCTGCTTTGTCCTATAGAGTCACTGAGTCGGAATCAACTTGATGACAGTGGGTTTGGTTTTGATTTAATAGAGTAATTATGAAGGTTTAGTGAGATAATACATGTAAGTGCTCATTAGAAATTGTTATTGTTACTTATTATTAATTCAGTTTCAGAACAAGTTAGACAAATTCTGAGTTAAAGAATTCGTGCAGATATTTAATATATTATTTTGGGGATGTTTACTCTGAATTTTGGGGTATAAACTTATTATTCATAGCTCCTAGTGTTTTCTTAAGACAGCAGTTCTCAAATTGTGGTGTACAGACCCCTGGGATTCTCTGAGCCTGTCCAGGAGGTCTGTGAAGTTAAATTTATTTTCATAGTGGTTATCATTTGCCTTTTTTGCTACTTTGACATTTGCCCTGCTAGTGTAAAAGCAATGGTGGGTAAAATTGTGGGCATCTTGGTAGATATTAAATGCCAGGGACACTGAACTGTACTAGTAATCATTGTATTCTTCACTGTCATGCATTCACAGTAAAAAAAAAAAAAAAAAAAGCCAGTTTATTTGACAGTGTCCTTGATGAAGCAGTAAAAGTTAGTAATTTTATGAAATTTCAACCTTGGAGTACACTTTGTTTTGATATTCTGTGTAATGAAATGGGAAATACGCACTTCACTACATACCCAGAGCACATTATTTGTCTCGGGGAAAACCTCTATATAGTTGTCCAAGTTGCGAGCTGAACTAGCCACATTTTTCATGAACATCATTTTTCTTGAAAAAGTGACTACCAGAGAAAGTATATTTGTTCAGATTTAGTTATCTGGCAGACATTTTCTTGAAAATGAGCAAATTGAGCCTGTCCCTTCAATGAAAACAACCGACAGTATTTGTTGCCAACAATGAAATTTGAACTTCCAAGTGAAAATTAAAATTTTGGAAAACTTGTATTGCCTGCTCTGTTCTTGTCAGCTTCCCAATACTTAAAGATTTTTCTGATGAGGTGGGTGGTGATATTAAGGAATGTGAGTTTTTGCTGTTGTATAATGAATTGTGTCAGCACGTAGAACAGCTGTCTAATTCAGTGAATGAATATTTTCAAAGTGACCAATGTTAGAAAATTATGCATAAAAAGATTCTTTCAAAGAGCGAGTAACTGTGTAGAAAGTTGATGTGGTTATAGGTTCCATAAATCCTTCTTGTCAAGTTTTGGTGTAGTATCGAAGAAGAATGTCTGCAACTTTGTGAAAAAATTATTGGTATTAAAGTATTTTTCCTTTTTTTCTCACTACGTATTTCTGTGAGGTACTGTTTCATATAGTTCAGTCAAAACAGCGTATCACAACAGATTGAATGTAGGAGCAGGTAGTGAGAATATTTAGCTCTTCTCTTGAGCTAGACATGAAAAATCTGCAAAAATTGTAAATCAGTATCATTTTTCTAAGTTTTTTTTGAAAAGTAACTTTTTTCATAAAAATACATTATCTTACTAAGTATATCAGCATATATAATTAAACATTAAATGCATTAATAAAATGTTTAAAATTTTTCTGTTAAAAGATATTTACAAAATGCTTGAGAGAAAGGGGTTAGGTTCATCAAATGAGTAAAGTTTTACAGTCCTAATCTTACCAGTATTCCTTTGGAATATGTATTACATGCCTCTAGTTCCTTTTCCTGACTGTAGCTCCAAATGGGCAGAGGACTCATGTATGTGTTTTTAAAGAAGATTTTAGTTTTTATTCAAGATTCATGCTACCTGTATGGTTTCTACCCAAAATTGAGATATGGTTAATTGGACATTTCGGTAAGCTTATCCATACTTGATACCACTCTTTTGGCTGTGAGCTATGAATGCAGTTTTGGAGCTGTTAACCATGGCAAGCTACCTCATGGTTGTAGTGAAACTCATTTTGTTGAAACTGAACTGCTGTTTTCTCTGACGTCCTTATACCAGGATTATCTGTCTGCTGTAATGCCTTCCTGACATTTCATAGCAGTTTTCCAGTATAGTCAGTCCACAGTTTATGAATAGGTTATGTTCCAGATGTGTTTGTGAATTGTTATTTGTGAAAATATAATATGAATTGCAGATGGGTTCTATAGTGCCATTAATAGTGTGGGCGTTACAACCTCATTGTGGCCTATTAAAATCTTTCTGTGGGAAATTATGTTCTGACTTCTCGAAGTCTAGCCAAACAAGTTTCTTTCTCCATTGCAATCCAGCAGTGGCAGTGAGTCCCCCTTTCTCCTTTAGTAGCAGCAAGAGAGGCATAAGCCCAATCTATATTCTGAAGCAATGCTCAAGAAACAGGCACCTTGAGTACCTTAGGAGTAGATGACACAGGTGTAGAAACTTTGGGCTAAGTAGCAATGGCGGAGGAAAAAGGAGAAGGGATGTTCTTTATGTTGCTTGGGGGTGGTATATTCTTTTTTTGGGACAATTAACTGAAAAATAAAAGATGCCTGTAGTTGGGTCCTAAGTTGGGAAATCATCTATATAGAGTTGTATTTTGTTGTCCTCTTAAGTCTGGTTATCGGAAGAACTGAGCTCCAACGTCAGAATGACAAGACTATTGGGAAGGTTGAACTCATAGATTCATAGGCCAGAGGTTTGAATGTAAAAGGAAAATGATGAACTCCAGGTGTAATTACGATCAGGAGGAGTAGTGGAGACCAGGAGAGTGTTGGGATATGCAAGCTATTAATACGGGGCTCAGAACATTCAAATTATAGGGTGATTGTTGGAGCAGGGGAAACCACAGAATGCTGTGACTTAGCCCACTGCCCTGGGGTCTCCGTCAGGAAATCTAGATTTTGGTACTGGTAAACAATACGGGAATTCCATTATGGAGAATGGCTAATATAAAGTAGAAATCCAGAACCAAGAGAACTTGGGGAAACAGTAAAGGCCAGTGTAGGTGAAGTGGAGTTTGACTTAAAGCTGAGCTTTGTCCTCTTCCTGACCAAGGACAGTACAGACCGCTGGGATTGAGCCAAGGGTGAGGCAAGAGGGAGAACAAAGTGACTATGAATGGCCTGGAGTGACTAGCCTGGCCCAACAAATACTTGTTAAATGAATGAATGAATGGATGGAAGTGAGGCAGGGTAACAAATAGGTCATTACAGTCTTCCCACTCAGGTTCTTCATCCAGTAGATGCTAGGTGTCATGTTGTCTGCCCACCAAAAAAATCATCTAGTCCAGGGGATTTTCTGTAAAGGACCAGATAATAAATATTTTAGGCTTTATGGGTCAAGTGGTCTCTGTTGTACATATTCTAGTCTGCCGTTGTAGTGTGAAACAGCCATAGACAACACATATATGCTTGAGTATGGCTGTGTTCCAATAAAACTTTATTTATGGACACTGAAATTTGAATTTCATATACTTTTTGCATGTCACAAAATATTCTTTAAAAAAATTATTTTTTCCAACATTTAAAAAGTAAAAAAATCGTTCTTAGACCGTGGGCTGTATAAGAATAGGTAGTGGCTCTAGTTTGCTGAACCCTGCTTTAGTCAAATGAATGACTGTCAGTTATGATGCAGAAAGCTTAGCAGTACTGAAATAGATGTTCTCGAGGAAATGCTGTTGGTGACACTGTCTTGTTTTATAGGTGACACTGATGATAGAAATCCATTCAAGAATTTAGATGTGACATCTGCAGCAGGTTCAAATCTCTCAGCTATGAGACAAACTGGATACTTCATAAGGATTTTCATCTATTATGCACAGAGAGCCAAAATCTGTTACTGAAATTGTCTGGGTGAGCAGCCTGCTGGGTCCAGTGATGCACTAGTAGACAAACAAGTTGAAAAAGAAGGCTGGCATATTCTTTGGATGACTGGCAGAGTGTGACATCAATATGGCATCAAGCCCTTCTATGATTCCAAGGACTTCATGACTAAATAAAAACAATTTTTTTTTTTTTTTGTGGTGGTGGTGGGTTGAAATGAATTTGATCTTTATTCGGGGAATGTTTAATGTATTATCATTCCATAATGGTATATGGTAATTGTGTTGGTCATCAAACTTGAAAGATCTTATTCTATGAAGCTTAGTTAGTTACCACCTTTTAGTATTGGGTTCTCTTACTCTAAAGGACATACAATAAAGAAAAACATTTGTTTATTAAAAAAGTTAATTTAAGGACTATGATTTTCACATGGAAGTCTTTGCTTTAGTGATTCTTGAAATTGTGCCCTTCCCTAGAGTATTTAAAATGTTTCTATTTGCAAGAAGCTCCCATACCCAGAGTTTTCTTGGAAAACATCCTTTTGAGTAGGTTTGTGAACTTAATAGTTAGTAGGAAATCATATTGCAGTGTTAATATACAGAGAACAGTTGAATTCATAAATTAATGTGTTTAGATCTATTAACTGAATTTACTTAAAAATGATTTACCAAGCAGGTATGAACTGGAAATGGGTATTTTTCTAGAACTATTGAATTACCACAAAACTGAAACATAAAAGTATTCTCTGAACCAAATCAATATTTTATTTGGTTAGAGTCATGGCTTTTGGTATATATCTGTATTTACACCAGTAATAGAGGATTTGAAAGTAGTGCTGTGTGGATTCTTTCAAAGCGGAATCCTTTTTTTTTTCTTCAGTGAATCTTCAGCAGTTTTTTCATCTTAGCATTTGACAAAAACTCTAGCAGCCCGGATATAAAACAGATTAGATTTTATATAGCTCATGCAACTCATCTACAAACAGAAAAAGTCTCATGACTTACCTTGAAATGTTTATTCAAGGCGTACACTATTCAGTTTGTCACTGTGCCACTGCCACTACTGCTTGTTTTTGGTCAGAGTGCAGCACAGCTAGCATAGCCATCCTGCTAGGAAAAAGATCTGTGGGTTGCTGGATAGTGGAAGTTACACACATCTAATTTACAAGTCAGATGAGAGATCAGAATCACGCAGTAGCTTTATGTGGAATTGATTTCATTTCATGGTTTTTAAGCTGTTTTTTCATTGAAGCAGTGCCTGTAACTGAAAGACAGGTGTGTTGTAGCATTTGAATGCTTTAAACTGTTTTGGATCTGGAATGAAAGGGATGTTCTTATAGATGTTTAGATCCTAGAATTAAAGAATTTTGGAATAAAATACCCTGTCCTTTATTTACTGTGCCATAATTCAACTGACCTATGAATTAGATTTGGGATTATTGTGATTAATATTTGGAAACATTTTCCATTTTAAAATATAAGGCACTTAGGAAGGACCAAGATTGTGTGTGTTTGTAAATAAAACAGCAAACACCTTTCTACCTTACAGGTAAGATATATTTGATAAGAAATAGGTGGACATAATATCAGTAGCCCATTAAAATTAGGAAATCCATTGTGACCTTCTGGAAATCTTCCATAAGGGGGAGGAAACAATAAGTAGAACACTTTATATAGATTCCAGTTATTTTGTTATTTTTAAGTAAATCTTTTTCAAAATATAACACATACAGAAGAGTGCTTTTAAGTACAGCTTGGTAGATTGCAGTTATTCTTAATTCACCTGTCCATATTGAAATTGAGAAGATGTCTCAAAAGTGAGTACTTTGAAGTAGTTCATTGCAGAATAGATGGTGCTGTTTAATTGAATTTGGGAACACAGTTGAAAAAAAAGCATCTGTGTTAATCTTTTAAGTATTTCTTGAACCATTAATTGATTTGTTGAGTATAATTAGGAGAAGAAAATCCAGGTGTTTAAAATTGTTGTTAGGTGCTGTTGAGTCAGTTCCAATCCATAGTGACCCCATGTACAACAGAATGAAACACTTTCTGTTCCTGAGCCATCCTCATAGTTGTTGCTATGTTTGAGCCCATTGTTGCAGCCACTGTGTCAATCCATCTTGTTTAGAGTCTTCCTCTTTTTCACTGACCTTCCAAGCATGATGTCCTTCTCCAGTGACTGGTCCCGTCTGATAACGTGCCTAAAGCACATGAGATGAAGTCTCCTTGTCCTCACTTTTTTTATTTTTTATTTTTTTAATATTTTATTGTACTTCAGGTGAAGGCTTACAGAACAGATAGTTTCTCATGTAACAGTAACACACATGCTGTTTTATGACATTGGTTAACAAC